GTAACCGCCGCAGTTCGATTCATGTATGTAACATCGAATATTTAGTTTGATGATTGATAAACTTATATTCACCGTTGCTTTCATGTTACGTTAATACAAACATGATTTAAAATTGTCCCTTCCGGTGTGTTTTTCTTAGCCGAAATATACAGAAATAGCACGTGCGTGTGCGTTTCCGTGAGTAAAAGAGGCAGGTGAGACGCAATGCGTTCTATTCATTTCCAGCGCACGTGGTCGGCGTCTTTGATTGCGTTTATTTTGTTGTTTTTATTCTCGAAATGTATCACTGGCTGTGTTTATTTTGTCGTGTCTCACAACTGAACGTCCAAGCTGACTTTGTTTTGGCTGTACAATCACCGCATGGACGTACGTCCAGTCGAGCGTCTGCTTCAGGATCACCTGATCTCATGTCAAAACACATGCGCATTTAGGAACTTCCGGAATCGCATTTTTATTCTCATTGCAAAATGGCGGGTTGTCAGTATCTGCGGTCAATCACGCCCAGCCGGGTCACGTGATCTGACGCACAGTTCAGCGAATGTTTGAAGTTCGAAAGTAGTTGCGTTATTTCCGGTTTCAACTATGTAGTTCGAAAATAGAACGTCCTTGTGCGCAATAAAATCACGCGTAGAACTCCATCCGAACCAGACTCTAGCAGCGTAAACTTATTGCAATTTGCGCGATTTGGACCCAGTTTGTTCTTACAAGTTTTCTAAGTTTCATTTATCATTATTTAGTAAACAGGTCTCTGAAACGATTTAATATATCCGTAAAATACTTGTCAATCGACGATTGACTTCGAAACGTTCGAAATTTCGAATAAACTCCCCGCACTCCTAGTGCGATATGCGTCAGATCGGTGTACAAGACGCCGAACTGCAGCGTCAATGAAGTGACGACAACAACACACGCTAAACACGCAAAGGCTCATGGGTAGACGCTTGTTTGTAAACAATGACACGCTAGGGCCATCTGACGCATGAGCAGATGATGAATCCCCCGCTTTAATGTTGTATTTCATATCATTCTCAGTTATTTCAGCTGTGATCGCTCTTGACGTGGAAACCGAACCGGAAGTGCATGGAATGGTTGAACGTTCGCTTACCCTCGCATGCCGATTTTCAGACGCCTCCGAACACTCTTTCAGGCGACTCTTAAATTGGTATATGAGGCGGGAGGGCGACCCTAAAATAGAACATGTGTTGAGTATGATTGACAGCGAGGATCCTACGGTTTATGGGACGTACGCTGGAAGAGCGGAGATGTTGGGCGAACAGGGCGACATGCAAATCACTAGCCTTGAACTTGTCGATGAGGGCGTGTACACATGCGAGGTCGATTACTACGTGGCGCACGAGAAAGGATCCGGAAACACCGAAGTAATCATCAGTAGTAAGTAAAATAAGGTTAAAGAAATCTTATTCGCTAAAATGTGCCGAGACCCTGCATACGTATTAAAAAATAAGTTATTGTTTCACGGAACGAAAACCATTATGTACGGTACAAGACCAATTCAGTTAGTTCATCTCCTAATACATCTTTAATTCTTGTTCCATTTGTAAAAGTTAACTCTAGCTATCAAGCTAAAATATTATAAGTACTTGTTTACTTTTTCCGCACACGCAGTTGTCACGGCAGTAGCAGATCGTAAGCTAGTGCAGATCAGCAAGCGACATTTGTTACCAGACATTCACATGCTTGTTGGTAAAAATGTAAACATATGACGTCCGGTCGCTTTCATTCGGCTCGGCTGTATAAGCACCCGGCGTGCTATTTTTTTGTTCGAGGATAAATAAACATGGTCGAAACACTATACCTATAAGTTGCGCCCTCTGGCGACGACGACGTTTCTTTAAATTGATAACTGCGTTTGATTTTGTAGTCGTCCATTGTCTATATTAAAATATCTAGAGGGCTTGAATTTTAGGAAAGGTGTACTTTGTCAAATTCGTATGTCTGTATATTTTTGTAGAGATTGTAGACCAAATCACCATATTTGGTCACGGAGAAGGTCGAGATGGCGAGCAGGTTGTTAAGTATTTTCCTCCGGGTGAACCCCAGACGCTTATATGCCGTGCTTCACGGGCCAAACCGGTAGCCTTACTGAAGTGGTATAAGGATGATGAGGAACTTACTGAGACCGAAGAAACCTACGAAGAAAGTACCGACGGTACATTCAACACGATCAACACGCTACAGTTCACGTCACACAAATCTGACGACGGAGCTGTTCTCAAATGTGAAACTAACCAGGAACCAGAGATAGAACTCAAGAAGTCTGCAACTATGATCATAAGTACGTATACGTCACAATATCGGAATTTTGATACAAGATAGTGTTTTCCCATTTGTATAAATATTTTCCTAGCATTGTTAGTTATCAGTTCCTGTCTGCCTAGTTCGAAACGGGCCTCACGCACGCGCGGATTTCGGGTGAGGCGCGCCAGCCCGCAAAAAAAGAAATCAATTGGTAAATCAATTGACAACCCCAGCCAATCGGAGATGCGTGGATGTGCCCTCCCTTACCGAATTTCTGGATTCGCCAGTGTTATGTTTGAGTTTTTTCCGTCCGTCATTTCTTGGACCGATTTTGTTTATAGTTGATAAAAGACAAGGCATTATATATGCATGCCGATTTTTTCTCGCTTGGTTGACCTTTGACCGACTGGTGACCCGTTTTGTCCAAACACACCAAAATCAACATTTGGAACATGTCATCAACTGTTTCTCAGGCGTGCATAGGGTGATTTCATTCAAACTAATGCACGTTATTTAGTTTCGCGATTTGATTCAAAATGGCAAATATACTTTTGATTTGGAATATATTATTTCTCTCAAGGGGGGAAACATTGACCGTGGACTATTTGTTAGTGATACTGACGATGTAATACTAC